AGCAGGGTATCTGAAACTACGGTAAAGTGAAACAGCAGTGTATCTGACACTACACTACACTGATGCCGCAGGGTGCCTGAAACTATACTACACTGAAAAACAGTGTCTTAAGAGAGTCAAATATATATAGGAACAGAACAGACAGATAGATATACAGAAAGACAGAGTCGTTTCTTTTCTCAATTTCTCAAAGTCTTGTTTTTGAGTCCCAGTCAATACTTCAGGTCAAATTGTCATCTTTTCACAATCATGTGAAAAAAAGTGATATCTGACAAATATCACTGTAGTTTATACTGATTTACTGTAGCTGGTAGATATTTAGACTGACAGACAACAGACCGATAGAACGACTGATAAAACGATAGAACGACAGACAGACAGACAGACAGACAGACATTAATGAGGATGCAGATATTGGAAAACTTTAATTAAACTGCAGCTGCAAGTCATGAAGAGACCATTAGGGATTTTCTTAATTAAGTTACGTTAAAGATGATCATTCTTCTTATTACTATCCATACAGCTATTGCATATGCACTGCTTTGATTTCATGTCTACATTATTACTAGTGATTAAGGCAACGCTACTGCTAGTATTTCAGCCAAGTCACATAAAGAGTAATAATTTATATTGAGATGGTGAAATCTTATGAAATCATATGACCTAACTTTAAACCTAACCATGATTGTAATAGGGGAAACAAAACAAAACTAAAACTCATATTCATACAATTTTTCTGAGCTAAGTTGTACCAATATCATTTCATTGTAGCAGCAAGCTTTGTGTACACACTGACCATTTGTATTTGCTTCAGAAAATGTAAAAATCTAGATTAACTTAGTGGTTGCAACGCCTGTACTCCTGTAAACCTCCTACAAAACTATTCATGATTTTAATAGGAAAAAAAACCACTCATAGTTGTACCTTTTTTGTATGAGCCAAGTTATAACGACATAATTAAATTTCACCACCCTGAAGAGTCTAGAAACCCCCTAATAAGCACTCATAAATGTCCAGGCAACCCAATGACAACCACCTAGCAACCACCCAGAATAAGCTAATAACCAGCAACAAAACACCTAGCAATAAGCCAGCACACTTGTAACTGCATAGCACCCATCTAGAACACCATAGCAATCACCTAGAACACCTAGCAACTGCAACACCCTAGCAACCACAACAGCAACCAAAACCACCACCCGAGCACTTTAGCAACTACATTGCAACATGTTAAAAACCATAACACAGCACTTTATTTGCTTTAGAAAACGCACAAAACCTAGTTTATCTTGCTGGTTGTGACTCTTGCAGTCAGTGATTGTGTAGAAAGTCTACTCTTGATCAGATTATTGACTGGTTAAAACACTTTAATAGAAAGGACATCTGATGGGTTTGAAGCGATGCATTTTTAATAAGTATACTAAAAGACTGATGGACACAGAAATAAATCAAAGCTTGCAAGAACAGTATGTATCTAGTCAGAGGTTTCAGGCACACTGTGGCCTGTTTGCGCTGCCATAATTCATTTGGGTTGTACAGAATACAGGCATATGTATGTTCTCATTAAGATCTCTGTGTTCTCAGCCACAGGGCATTAGCTCCAAGCTAATACATTTGGCAGCTAATGAGCTGCAACGAGTCTTAGGCTAGAGCGAAACGAGGGACTGGGCCAAGTGTCGCCTCTCCCTTCCACTCTGCTCTTTACTAAGACTAGAGAAAAGCAGCATAATGTCCATGCTAATGAATCAATCATGGCTCGCATATAAATCACAACTAACATAACAATCTGGCTTACTGTCATTATGATGAATCCCTTTATTTGGAGGTATAGGCTCAGACCAAGAGCACTCTGTCTCCTGCACATGCAAAAAGTAATGATCATGGACAGAATGTGATACGGTGTGGTGAAACAGAAGTGAAGTACACTGCACGCTCCACTGACTCATTTTTAAATTGCTGTGGCATGGCAGAACGAATGCATTTCAGCACGGCTTGAAGATATCGAGGCTTAGAAGGCAATGATGAAGTTGTGCGATACATTCGCCCAAGACCATGCAGAATATTAGACGAGCTAAGAGATGTTTTAAGGGTCTTCATTACTTCTACATTATTCCACATCTCACTGAATTTTACTTTGCATTGCTCATCTAGATTATAATTTAGATTCTAAAAATACTTTAAGATAGTGGTGGGTTGCGACTCAAAAATGAGTCTGACAAAAGGGAGAAATATGTCATATGTTTTGTTGTTGATGTCAATTTTGCAAATTCATCTGCAGAATTAAATAGATGCCAGTATGGACAGGTTGTGTGACATGCCCTCATCCTCTAAAACCATCAACAAAACTACAAATAAATGCAAATATATACAGACAATATAAAATGCATGTTGACTTGCAATGAGGAAAAATATGATTTGTCCAGTTGATAACTGGCTTAGAGTGTCAAATTCATTGTTTTACATGAACATTTCACAACAAGGTTCAATTTGTGAACATTAGTCAATGCATCAAGTTTAAAGTGCACCTATTATGCAATTTTGAATATTGCCTTTCATGCAGTGTGTAATGTAGCTGTATGTGAATGTAAACAATCTGCAAAGTTGTAAAGCCAAAAGTGCACGATAAATAAAGTTATTCTCTCAAAAGAAAGAATCGACTCTGAACAGCCTAAACGAGTCATCAGTAATTAGAATCCCACTTCCGTGACGGCTACACGTTTATTTATTTATTTATTTTATTTAAAGTTGTTCATTGTTAATTCATGTTTGTTCATAATACATTAAATGTCAATTCCTAACTTGAAATGTTAATATGTATTAGTATAAGTAGAAATTAACATGAATCAAGATTAATAAACAATGCAGAAGTATTTTTCATTCATGTTAGTTATTGCAACTAATGTTGAACTATATAATGAATTGAACCATTTTGTAAAGTTCTGAAACCATCAAAATTCAAGAGACTTTTAAAAACCTACCGTAATTGTAATTATTCAGCCCTTCATTTAAATACTATTGCATATTGTTGAGCCAATGAAATTCATGTTTTTACTTCTTTGTACATTAGATAATTTAATTGTAGCGAATAAGCTCAAAGGGGAAATATGAATAATTAATTATAACTAGTTATAATTAATTATAAATATTTAGATCCGCTGTAAGTATTTACTTGACCTCTCAGTGTCAACTGTCTGTCAATTCTAAGAACGTTAATTTCCTGGTTAAGGAAAATAACTTTCTTACTGTACAATACTACTCAGAGCATGTAGCAAAAATCTGCATGATTAGGGACTCCAGTTATGAGCAAACAATGAACAACCTCAAGTGTGGTACAAGTAAGACTTTATTAACTACATAAACACTTAAACTAGTCTAACATACACATACACATACACACACAAACGCATACAGTTGGCATAGGAAAAAGGGTAAAAGCTTAAGCAGTAAAGAGAAGAGAAATAAAAACATGAAGCTATGGTACCATTTGATATTCAGCAGATCGACAGCCTGAAGGAAACATCAGATTCTTAGTTCAAACACACCTTTGTAAAAA